CGGGAAATGGGTCAAAACTGACCAGTCGTATTTCCCTATATAATCTTTGTATTTTATGGAGAAAACAGAGGGTCATTTCAAAACGGATTTTATGGCACTTACCCTCTTTACATCTGGCTCAGTTTTGGCATGCTTATAGGTCAATGGCTTGACCTTTAGGGAAAACTGTCGGTTACACTCAAAGCCCTCGACGAGGGCTAAAAAGTGACCGCGAGTGAAATTCTCTTTATATGAGCTCTATTACGAAAAAAAAATTCCTCCGACGACCCCCCTTGATATTTTGTGAGGTGGTAGAAGAACGCCTTGGGGTGTCACAAAAAACTCGCCATGTCCGGGAAAAATCGGGAAATGGGTCAAAACTGACCAGTTGTATTTCCCTATATAATCTTTGTATTTTATGGGAAAAACATAGGGTCTTTTCAACGCAGACTTTAGGGTACTTAAGCTCAGTATATCTGACTAATTTTTTGCATGCTCCTAGGTCAATGGCTTGCCCTTTAGGGAAAACTGTCGGTTACACTCAAAGCCCTCGACGAGGGCTAAAAAGTGACCGCGAGTGAAATTCTCTTTATATGAGCTCTATTACGAAAAAAAAATTCCTCCGACGACCCCCCTTGATATTTTGTGAGGTGGTAGGAGAACGCCTTGGGGTGTCACAAAAAACTCGCCATGTCCGGGAAAAATCGGGAAATGGGTCAAAACTGACCAGTCGTATTTCCCTATATAATCTTTGTATTTTATGGAGAAAACAGAGGGTCATTTCAAAACGGATTTTATGGCACTTACCCTCTTTACATCTGGCTCAGTTTTGGCATGCTTATAGGTCAATGGCTTGACCTTTAGGGAAAACTGTCGGTTACACTCAAAGCCCTCGACGAGGGCTAAAAAGTGACCGCGAGTGAAATTCTCTTTATATGAGCTTTATTACGAAAAAAAAATTCCTCCGACGACCCACCTTGATATTTTGTGAGGTGGTAGGAGAACGCCTTGGGGTGTCACAAAAAACTCGCCATGTCCGGGAAAAATCGGGAAATGGGTCAAAACTGACCAGTTGTATTTCCCTATATAATCTTTGTATTTTATGGGAAAAACATAGGGTCTTTTCAACGCAGACTTTAGGGTACTTAAGCTCAGTATATCTGACTAATTTTTTGCATGCTCCTAGGTCAATGGCTTGCCCTTTAGGGAAAACTGTCGGTTACACTCAAAGCCCTCGACGAGGGCTAAAAAGTGACCGCGAGTGAAATTCTCTTTATATGAGCTCTATTACGAAAAAAAATTTCCTCCGACGACCCCCCTTGATATTTTGTGAGGTGGTAGAAGAAGACCTAGGGGTGTCACAAAAAACTCGGCATATCTGGGAAAACTTCGTAAAGCGGTCAAAACTGACCAGTTGTATTTCCCTATATAATCTTTGTATTTTATGGGAAAAACAGAGGGTCATTTCAACGCAGACTTTAGGGTACTTAAACTCAGTATATCTGGCTAATTTTTTGCATGCTCCTAGGTCAATGGCTTGACCTTTAGGGAAAACTGTCGGTTACACTCAAAGCCCTCGACGAGGGCTAAAAAGTGACCGCGAGTGAAATTCTCTTTATATGAGCTCTATTACGAAAAAAAATTTCCTCCGACGACCCCCCTTGATATTTTGTGAGGTGGTAGAAGAACACCTAGGGGTGTCACAAAAAACTCGGCATATCTGGGAAAACTTCGTAAAGCGGTCAAAAATGACCAGTTGTATTTCCCTATATAATCTTTGTATTTTATGGGAAAAACAGAGGGTCATTTCAACGCAGACTTTAGGGTACTTAAACTCAGTATATCTGGCTAATTTTTTGCCTGCTCCTAGGTCGATGGCTTGACCTTTAGGGAAAACTGTCGGTTACACTCAAAGCCCTCGACGAGGGCTAAAAAGTGACCGCGAGTGAAATTCTCTTTATATGAGCTCTATTACGAAAAAAAATTTCCTCCGACGACCCCCCTTGATATTTTGTGAGGTGGTAGAAGAACACCTAGGGGTGTCACAAAAAACTCGGCATATCTGGGAAACCTTTGTAAAGCGGTCAAAACTGACCAGTTGTATTTCCCTATATAATCTTTGTATTTTATGGGAAAAACAGAGGGTCATTTCAACGCAGACTTTAGGGTACTTAAGCTCAGTATATCTGGCTAATATTTTGCATACACTACTATAGATGACTAGGCCGTATGGAAAAACTGTTGGTCAGACTCAAAGCCCTCGACGAGGGCTAAAAGATGATCTTGAGTGAAATTCTCCTTATATGAGATATATATATAAATAAAATTGACGAACGATCCCCTTAATATTATGTGACGTCGTAGACCGACCCTGGAGGCTAACAAAAAAACTTTATTCCCGTCGGAAACAGCCATTATAGTTGTTAAATATGTTCATATACCGTAATTTCTTATATAAGCATAGCAACTGTTTGTAAAAAAAAACAAAGACATACGTCATACGTTCAGTTTTCAAGGGAGGTAACGTTTTTTAAATTATTATTTTTCAAATAATTGTATACTATTTTAAACAGAAACAGAAAATGACGAAGTATAGCATTTGTTTTAGTAAAAAAAATTAAGTAGTTAATTTAGTTACATATCCCAATTAAATAAATAAATAAATTTCAAAAGGCAATGTAATAAAAACTATGAGATGTACTGTTCATGGAAGCTGTGTAGTTCTAATTCCATTTTACTTATACATTGCGTACTTTCCGATATTTCACTGCGAACGGTATTTAAATGACAAACTAAAACATTTTTTTTCTAAAGTTAGCATTACTGTTTAAATTAAAGCACTCAACACCAAATCCATCGCTAAATAATTAAGTATTCAAATTCTCAAATGTTATTTAAAAACCTAAGCGAAGCTAGGCAGTATGCCTAGTATATATATATAATCGCTTGACGTGCAAAATTTTCTAAATCGTAAACTTAAAGCGACACAAGTGCGCACTTTTATTTTGGGGCTTTAATGCCCTTATCTCCCCACCCAGTTAAAGACATTCAAGAGTAAATACAAAATTAATCCTAGTGGACCCAGTATCATACCAGAAGCCTATAATTTTTATTACACAACTCACACTTGATCTATGTCAATTTGAATAAATCATCAGGCATGCTTGAGGATTAAATTGCTAAAAAAACACTATCTTCATGTTTTGGTTTTAATGTCCTACCCCTCATCCCCTCCCCTCCCTCTCCACCCCAACCCCCGACTATGATTTGACTTAATTATTATGGACGCAATTTTTAAAAAGTAGCCTAGTGGACCCAGTATCATCAACTCAGCTAACTCTATACCAAAACAACAACATTTCTCACTGTAAATTCGAGTAAATTGTCAGGCTTAACTGGGGATTAAGTTGATCTCGGAAAACCTTTTTTTTTTAAAAACGGATTAAGTACGGCTGCCCGATTAAAATTTTCAAGGACCCTTGCTAATGTAGTCGTCGTGGCCGAGTGGTTAAGGCGATGGACCTAAAGGCGGGAAACCAATCCTCCGTGGTCAATACGAAACGTAATACATCAATCATTGATCATTGATATAGACTGGTCCAGATATGAGACACTTTAAAAACTATACCTCAATATTAGATCAAAGTTATGGTGTGCGTTTTTATAATGTTCAGAATTTTTAAACAAAATCACAAAGTGACAAAACAGCGCTTTTCATTTTGTGGTTTTAATGTCTAAACCCCCCTTCCATCCACCCCATCATGCCCCTGTCCCCCACAGACTACCACAATGATTTGACATAATGAAGAGAATTGATACAAACTTAGCCCTAATAGACGCAGTTATAAAAGTAGCCTTTTTTTTTTTACTTTCTCGTATATCATGGCTATATCCCGAGTTGCCATCCCTTGTTGTTTCTTATAAGAATATTCGAGAAAGTTTAGGGGAGATCACTCCAGGTTTATTTAAAATCCACTTAGTAAACAAACATATGAAACCAACAGAATTGCTGACGTGATGTGTGTAGGTAAATTTGAATAAATTAGCAGGCTTATCTGGGGATTAAATTGATCTAAGCAACACTACCTTTTTTTTTAAATGAATGACGCATGGCTGCCTGATTTAAGTTGTCAAGTTTGTCTGTTAAATGTAGTCGTCGTGGCCGAGTGGTTAAGGCGATGGACTTGAAATCCATTGCGATCTTCTCGCGTAGATTCGAATCCTGCCGACGACGTTACTTTTTTTTAAAACAATTTTCACAACTTTTTAGGAGGGTTTCCTCAACGTGTAATCAGTTGTTTCGTTTTATACGTATGACCTTGCTTTCTAGAAATGTAGACGATGTGGGCAGTACTTCTCTTGAATTCTAGTCGTTGGGCGTGCATGCATCTACACCGCCGCCCACCCTCTCCAAAATATGCTGTACGTTTTTACCCTCCGCCCATGTGCCAACGATCTAGTGTTTTACTAGTTACCGCCATCGGTCAAACTATCTCAGAGCGGCCTAGCACCGCTCTTATTTTACTTTTTCCTATCTATTATTGTAGTTCACCGTGTCCTTAATTTAGGACGCTCTTTCAAACACAGGTAGGCGCCATTGTGCTCACGAGAAATCTGGGACATTCGAAGTTACGCGAGTAGGGCCAGTAGATGCCTTTGCAGTTTAACCGTGCATTCAAGTAGTACCTCTAATCTACTGTGTAAGAAGCTCAATAAGCGGACAATTGGTGCTAATACATTTTAGCTTTAATAAAACTAAACCACATAAGTTAAGAAATTCTCTCCTAATGAAAGTACACATGTAGGGAATATTTAAATTTTGGATGTTTTTATAACGAAAATTACAAAGAATGCGTTACTAGAGTGTGTGTGTTTATGGCCTGTATTGTGTATATTATAAAGTTTAGATTTTAGAATTTAAAGTTTTGGTTTATTGATAGTTCCTAGTTAATTGTCAATGATATTTTTGGTTTGATACTTTTTTGTTATACCTAGAATTAGGAATTTACAAAATTGTCATAAACAAAAATAGAATTTTTATTTTTCATTATTCAAGATGTTACAAAAGAAAATACAAACATTATGAGGCAATAAATAAAAAAAACAATACAAAGATTTCAAGGAAGGCTCAAATGCTGCAAATGTTAAATCTCCATTTCCTGTCCTCATAGTAATCCTTATGGATGCTGTAAGCGCCGTTCACCACCTTACCCTCTGGGACGTTAAGTGTTAGTCGCCCGTCCCAGACATTGACGTCACCTGTGATGTAACATCCGGTCAGGATTCTGCCGGTGACTCTACAGCACTGGAATCGGAACCTGCGGTCTTCGTAATGGTCGTTATGAGAGCTAGCGACACCTGTGATGACCTTGTTATGTGGACACACGTAGGTGAGTAGTTCATCGAACTCGTTTACATAACCTGGTAAAGAACAATAATATATTGGTAGTTTAAGTCATTGATTTTAAATGGAAAAAAATGTGTCAACCACTGAAGCGATTCTCTCTATAAAATGTAGGTAAGCTACACAGGTTACTTCATTATAGACAATTTAACTTCAGTTTTTCTTTAAATATATGTGTATGTGTGTATTTACAATGTGTGTTATATGAAAAAAAAATGTTTACGCGAACAATAAGCCACATTTTACATTCTGGTAAATATTTTATTTCGTCAAAATCATCTCCTTGAATCAGTAAAAGATCATCCATCAACAACTATGAAAGAGTTTTATATATATATATATATATATATATATATATATATATATATATATATATATATATATATGTAACTAGGGGAAGTTACCAAGAGACATAACGTGTTACAGTCTGACGTCATAGTGCAGATGGTAGACTGATAACGAACGCAAAGCCGCGGCGCAGTTGACAGGCTGATGCAACTAATGGAAACTATTACATGTACGTGAGATATAATGAGACGGTGAACTGTAGAGCGGGGAGTATCGAGTTGGCTGTGGAACGGGGTAGACGTGTGTGTTATGTGAGGATAGGAAGGATGGACATGTGGATTCAGTTATATGAAGCCTAGTGAGGACTGTTAGGGGTCAGTTGATTCAGACTATTATTGAGAAGCATTCCTGTTGATTTATTGTGTTATTATGAAGCATTTCCTGATTCATGTAATAAAGGATCAATAGCGAACCTGCATCTTGAGTATCTATACTGTGGTCAATGTTGTCTAGAATGAGTGGTTAAACTCGTTAACACGTGGCACTACAGGCAATTAGGTCTCATTACATGTGGCGTTGCGAGCATGGTAACTGTTGGCTCGTTACAATTGGCGTTGTCGGCAGGATAAATGTTCGCTCGTCACAATTGGCGCTGCGATCAGGATGAATTCAACTAGACTTGCCGTTTAAGGCACCTATAGTCAACCTTGTGCATAACTGTGTTTAGTGTGTGTGTGAATTCGGACATTCAGGAACTGTGAAAATTGAGGAACGAGGAAAAATTTTTCATACACACACGGTAAGAAAGAACTCTTTTTTTTTAGTACTTAAGGAAGAAAATGTCTACTCTGGACGAGAAGCAGACCCATATAGTGGTCCTACCCAGAGAGTCCCACATTAACAAATTTTACGGGGACGGAGATCCAACTTTAACCAACAGGTTCAGTGAAGAGGTCAAAGCGGCCTGGGCCTCGAGACATATGTCACCAGAGGAAAGATTAAGACTGCTGATGGGCAGTATAGGTGAAACGGTTAGGGCAGAGGTTAAGTGCCACGATAGGACCGTCCAATCAGATCCAGATAAGGTGCTAGATCTGATTATGGAGACCTTTGGGGAGAGACGGTCGGTAGTGCAACTGCTATCGGGATTCGTGGGCTTAAAGCAGAGAATGGCGGAGAGTGTGATGGAGTACTCACACAGGATGAACAGGGCCTTTGATTTGGTAAAGGGCAAATCACCGGACATTGATGTACGCCTACTGAGGGACCATTTCATCGAGGGGCTAGCAACCCCGATCTTAAGGAGAGAGTTGAAAGAGGAGGTCCACAGAGACCAGCAGTTGACCTTCCTTCAGGTCAGGAACTCAGCGATCCGCAGGTCCGAGGACGAGGACCAATCGAACTGTTCGGTGGACAAAGTCTCTGTGCCTGAACAGAGACAATCCCCACCCACAGGGGCCGACACGATGGAGACCATGATGGCTCAACTGTTGGCCCACCTAGAGAAGGTTGACCAACGCTTGAAGTGGTTGGAAAGCAGGTCAACAGCTGAGAATCAGGAAAAGAACGGGACAAAACAGGGACGGGTTGGACGGCCGCGTCCTGCCAAGCCATCACTCCAATGGACGGCAGACGGTCGACCAATTTGTTTGTCTTGTTCACAACCCGGACATATGGCACGGTACTGTCCGGTGAAACGATCGCCCTCTGTACGGCAGGTCAAGGCTACAGAGCGGCGAGGTAATGACTTGGTAAACAAAATGACAAAGAAACACAGTAAGGAGAAAAAGAAAGGTAAAACACAACTAATGAAAAAAATGAACTGTGAAATGAACTTGAATGTTGAAAAGTTTCAAGTGAACAATTTGTTGGTAGAGAAAAATGATGATAAGAAGAAAATTGGTAGACTTAATAAAGGAATTCAAAGTCTAACCAGGAAACTGGATAGGAAAAGTTCATGCAAATTAAAAGCACAGGAGAAATGTTCATCTTTAGAGTGTCTGTTATCGGAAGAAGTAAATAAAAATAGTGGACAACAGAACAGTGTTGGCAAACTAGAAAAATTATCAGATATTGAAAAAGAACTTCAAATTACAGCAAAGTTGGGATCCATCGAACAGCGATGGGCAGCAGAATTGGCACTCTTTGACCCGGAGAGAAAATTTCGCCCAGGGCGGTCCAATGGCAATGCGGACGCCTTATCAAGGAATCCTTACGAGAGACCGGGTGATGAGGAAGAAACACTGACAGGAATATGTGAGGTCAGAGCGTCAGCAGATATCCCTCACGGGGTGCAAATGATGCAAAACGGGCAGACCGGGGTGGAGCACATATCCACGGAACCCGAACATATGGACAGTAGTGATTTTAATTGCCTTAATCACCAAAAGATAAGAGATGCCCAGAGAACGGATAGTGGCTTACAACCGCTATTGAAACACGTCCAGGAACAAAAATTCCCAGGAAGGAGGGAAAGAGAACAATTTGGTCGAGAAACAAAGAAAATACTGAGTCAGTGGGACCGTCTCAGTATACAGGATGGTGTTCTCATGCGGAGAATTTATGACCAAATTGATGGGACAATACACCAGGTGGTGGTGCCTGGACAATTACGAGAAGAAGTGCTAAGGTTGGCACATGACAGGGCAGGACACCAGGGTCAGGACAGGACGCACAAAATATTACGACGAAGGTGTTACTGGCCCAATATGAAAATGGAGGTCAAACGCCATTGTGAGGCTTGTGTGAGGTGTCAGCATGCGAAAATGCCAGTTGTCAAAATGAGACAGCCATCAGGACACCTACTAGCGACAAAACCACTAGAGATTGTGGCTATGGACTTTACGTCGTTGGAGCAATCATCGGATGGGACGGAACATGTGTTGGTAATGACTGATGTATTCACCAAATGGACTGTGGCGGTGCCCACACGAGATCAGACTGCCAAAACAGTGGCAAAGGTATTAATAGAACATTGGTTCATCAAATATGGCATACCAAGACAATTACACTCTGACCAAGGAAGGGCTTTCGAGTCAGAAGTAATTAACCAACTGTGCAACCACTACGGGATCAACAAATCTAGAACAACCACATTTAATCCGAAAGGAAACGGACAGTGTGAACGGTTCAACCGCAGCATGCATGATTTGCTGCGTACGCTAGAACCTGAACAGAAAAAACGTTGGCCTGATTTTCTCCCAGAGTTGGTATATCTATACAACTGCACACCACATGCCACAACCGGCTTTTCGCCACACATGTTGCTGTTCGGACGGGAGGCTCGACTCCCTCTTGATTTGTTCTTAGGAAAAAGGGAGAGTATGACTGGCTCATACACCGCACTGGAATATGTGAATGAACATATGCGAGGAATTAGAGAAATGTACAGGGTAGTACAGGAAAGACTAGAACATGAATCTCGGCGAAGGGAACCGCCGATACAGACGAAGGACCCGCCACTCAAACTAAATGACAGGGTATTACTGCGTAGCCACCCGTTAGGCAGAAACAAAATCCACGATCTCTGGGGACAGGAGATATGGCAAGTCGTGGAGATGCCTAAAGTAGCAGGTGGCCCCTTTAAGATAAGACCCATCGATCACGCCAAACCGGATCGGTGGGCGAATATTGCTCAATTAAAGAAATATTGGAATAGGCAAGAAGAGCAGTTACACACAGAGAAACCCAAGACAATTAGGGAACCGGAAGTTATAACGGAAATTCACATACCCATTCCGGAACCATATCACCATCAACAGAACAACAGCGATACGCAAGGGGAGGATACCGGCAACAATGAGGATCCCGGTCCCTCCAGAAGCAGAGAGACAGTAGACCATCAGATAAGTGGTCCGCGGAGAAGTTTGAGAAACAGAAAGAATACGAAATTTTTTGTCAGCAACCATCAATTCTTTCATGGTCGCGCTGGTATGAAAACAGACTGTTCAAAAAGTCATAAAAGTGAACTGGTGAAGGCACCAAACGAAAAAAGGTGGATGTGAATTCTAGAACTGTTTTGTGTCTCAGGAAGATGATGTAGACACAGTTAATATGTGAAATAGGTATAACTGTCAATTGTATACGAATGGAACGTCGTGGACAGTGAGTGGAACAATAAATTTTTTTTTACGACTGTGCGATTGACTTTGGAGGAGTGCACCTGCCAGGCGTTGTTTGTGGTTGAAAACACACAAAAAAAAGCAGGGGTGGATGTAACTAGGGGAAGTTACCAAGAGACATAACGTGTTACAGTCTGACGTCATAGTGCAGATGGTAGGCTGATAACGAACGCAAAGCCGCGGCGCAGTTGACAGGCTGATGCAACTAATGGAAACTATTACATGTACGTGAGATATAATGAGACGGTGAACTGTAGAGCGGGGAGTATCGAGTTGGCTGTGGAACGGGGTAGACGTGTGTGTTATGTGAGGATAGGAAGGATGGACATGTGGATTCAGTTATATGAAGCCTAGTGAGGACTGTTAGGGGTCAGTTGATTCAGACTATTATTGAGAAGCATTCCTGTTGATTTATTGTGTTATTATGAAGCATTTCCTGATTCATGTAATAAAGGATCAATAGCGAACCTGCATCTTGAGTATCTATACTGTGGTCAATGTTGTCTAGAATGAGTGGTTAAACTCGTTAACACGTGGCACTACAGGCAATTAGGTCTCATTACATGTGGCGTTGCGAGCATGGTAACTGTTGGCTCGTTACAATTGGCGTTGTCGGCAGGATAAATGTTCGCTCGTCACATATATATATATATATATATATATATATATATACATATATATATATATGGAGTACCGTGATAGCAGTTTTATTTTGTATATAAAATTCTTCAAATCGACATAGTATTATATATATATATATATATATATATATATATATATATATATATATATATATATATATATATATATATATATATATATATATATACATATATATATGGAGTACCGTGATAGCAGTTCTATTTTGTATATAAAATTCTTCAAATCGACATAGTACTATATATATATATATATATATATATATATATATATATATATATATATGTATATATATATATATATATATATATATATATATATAAAAATATATATATATATATATATATATATATATATAAATATATATATATATATATATATATATATATATATATATATATATATATATATATATATAAATATATATATATATATATAATTATATATACTTTTTAGATCCATGACCGAATTATTAGCTCCCTAAAGGGACGATTATCCGGAATCTGTCAAGCAAAAACATGGCTAACATAACTCACCACTCTGTTCACAATCTCTTGTCTCACCCACAGAGCGGCATTGGAACTCCCACTTCCGGTCTTCATAGTAGTCGTCGTGCTCGCTGGAGATGTAGCTGATGGCCTGACCCAGGGGACACTTGAAGTCAAACGGCTGGTCCCAGTCGTTGACCACGTAGCCTCGGACGTACATCGTTGCCATGGAAACCATCAGGTAAGTGAAGATACACATGCTGGTAACTGATAAATTGTGTTCAGATTTTAATTCAATACAAATTCAACTTCTCCGGGTAGTGACTAGTGTTAGCTACAGCTGCTTATATATAAGTAACGACAACCGGATTTGTAACCTGATACTTTTGACAAATTAAGGTCTTAAAAACAAACACGAAATCTCTAGTAACTGCTACGGGTCCATCTTTGGCTTATGACAGAAAATAAAGAAATATTTGAACAATAAAATAGGCCTTTGAGCTTGACCCAGTTGAATAAAAAAACACGTACCCCACTTCCCCCCCCCCCCCCCCACTTTCTCCCCCACACCCCTGTTTCCTCATTGGCTTTTATTCGTTTTCTGTAAATCGGGTCACCAAACATGTTTTCAAAGCCTGCCTTATATCCTTCTTTACAGTGATGTGTGTAGGAACTGATCAAAGGGACTGTTTTTCATAAACACACACACACATGCACCACACAAACACACACACGACACACACACGTACATGCACACACACACACACACTCATATATATATATATATATATATATACCGTTTTAGTAGGTTGAAGAAATTTCGTGTACAAGTATTTAATCCTAGATGGTAAGGTACTCATATGGTTTTAACCGCAAATATTTTAGGCGTATCCTATTTGGTATCAAGTTTAATTATGCCGAATGATTAGAAAGTAAAAACTAAAGAAATATAAAAATCTGTTTTTAACACGTTTTTAACACGTTTTTCTTAACTCAGCTTCGCGTTTGTTTGTTTGTTTGGATGTTTGTTGTTAAAATTGACATCGAAAATTAGCCCACTTCTGATTGCTCTATAGACCTGAAATTTGGCATGCATGCTACTTTCGCCTAACAATTTCAGATGCAATCATAAAAACTAGCAATTAGTGACCGTAATTAGCTTAATTTAATTACGCCCCAAGGACCATAAAATTGAGGACATGATTTCTAAAGATACCGACAAGACTGGAGGCCTATTGACCCAGTTACTTCGGCCCCAATCGATGTGAGCGCGCTGGCCGTGATCGTATAGTGGTTAGTACTTCGCGTTGTGGCCGCGACAACCCAGGTTCGAATCCTGGTCGCTCAAGTTTTTAGTCCGTGTATTTATAAACACTTTTTTAAAAACCACGTTTTTCATGTGTAGCAACGGACTAAAAAGGAGAAAATAAAATACTTAAAAAAAACTTTTTAAAAAACCACGTTTTTCTTGTGGACTAAAAAGTAGAAAATAAAATTTTCTTTTGTGCTTCCTCGAGCTGTGCAGGTTCTTGTGATGACTGACAAAAAACGTGGGTCGGGCAGATGGGTCGGGAAATTTGATGGTGAACGTACCCACGTTTTTTGTCAGTCATCACAAGAACCTGCACAGCTCGAGGAAGCACAAAAGAAAATTTTATTTTCTACTTTTTAGTCCACAAGAAAAACGTGGTTTTTTAAAAAGTTTTTTTTAAGTATTTTTTTATTATTAACTCAGCTTCGCGTTTGTGTGTTTGTTGTTAAAATTGACATCGAAAATTAGCCCACTTCTGATTGATCCATTGGGATCTTCCCGCGTAGGTTCGAATCCTGCCGACGACGATATTTTTGTTTAAAATTTCCCCAACCTTATCTGTTGACGTAGCGTTCCCTCCTCCATTTTGAACAACGACCTATACGGTATAGTCATTACTTTTGTCGGTAATTAATAGATAGTATTGGACTGTATGCTTCTCTAAACCGCTGGCAATTTAAAAAATGTTTTTCATTTTCACAACAAGTAATTACACGAATAATTTCTGCTACCTCCGCTCAAGTGCTAACTCAGCTTAATAAATGCTACCTTTGCAAGTCAAATGCTACAATGAATAGTGTTTATACCCTGCCTTTCCCCTTGTGTCTTCCCCAGTCTCTCCCTTCCCCCCCCCCCCCCCATCTATCAATCGAGATGTCTGAAAGAAACTCTGACATTCAGCATTTATCATCAAATAGTGAATCCTTACTCATCCAAAACTTTATCTCATGTAAATGTAAGCCTAAATATTTCTTTATGTCTTGACTTGAGAAAATAATACTTTGAGCATTATTCGGCTCAGCAGGCCTCCATAGCTCTTGTAAACCAGGGGTCGTGAGTTCAATCCTTACTGGGGGCTGTAAACTTTTTAGGTATTGATTTGTTTTTTATTTACGAAAAAATGGTTTAATTTCTTTCGTAAATATATTAAATAATAATGAATATTTTCAAAGTACTTTATTTTGTTCCTTTTTTTGTAAAAAATATATTATCACACAAAACAATAATAGCCTCCAGTGAGGATTGAACTCACGACCCCTGGTTTACAAGACCAGTGCTCTAGCCACTGAGCTATGGAGGCCTGTATTTGTGCTACGAGGTTTAAATTTAAGATATTGAAATAGCAAAGCAGTACCTGTTTGGTTTTGGTTGGGTAGCAACCATAAGTTTACCGGCCTGACCACGCTGACCCCACATCTATATACATAATTCTCTACGTGGGGACCATACAAGACACCACAAAGTAAGGGCTTAGCCGTTCCTTCTCCGCTCTCTAAGCTTAACGCTACTACCCACACCCCACCAGTCTAGTGAGCTGTTGTTCACCCCGAATGTTTACAATGTGACGGCGAAGCGACCCTTCCCGGCGCACGGGGACAAACTTTCGATTCCCCCCCCCTCAAACTTTAGATTTGCACCCCCCCCCCCCCTCAAACTTTCAATTTGTTTTTCCAACCCATTTTGGCGCCCCCTAAGGTCGAAGCCCGGGGACATATGTCCGCCCCCTCGCTACGCCTCTGGGGGGTTCTTTAGGACGTAGATTAAAACTCCTCTAAAATTCACCCTACCCCCTCGCAACTACTTCGATAACATTCAAAGTAATAAAAATATCGAGATTGTAATCTTACAACACAAAACTTTTAACTTTTAACCAACCTGTGCTTTTCAAAATGTTAGTGGCCGTTGAATAGTGTATATCTCTTTATAATAACGAGCCTCGCTGTATTTTTGAATCGTCAAATTAAAAAAAATTACACCGTAAGAAGATGAAGCTGAACCAGAAATGTGATTTAATATAAAACAAGATTTGGGTGTTTCATTTTGTGTTCACTTGCATAGTACAGAGTAACAGAATCCTTAACAGCTAATCACCTCGAATTATAATCTTAACTTGCGTTCAAGTTTCTCAAGTTAAAAGTGGCGTAGACGGGGGGGGGGGTTACTGGGGTCATAATCCCCCCCCCATAGACCCCTCGGTATATACATAAAGAATGAGGGGGGGGGTGCAAATCGAAAGTTTGAGGGGGGGTGCAAATCAAAAGTCTGAGGGGGGGGGGTGCAAATCGAAAGTTTGTCCCCGGGTAAAAATTGGAAACCCCCCCCCCCCCTTGAGACGATCCTGGCTAGGCCACTGGGCCTGTCTATAGCTGCCATAGCGTATATACTTGTTTCTTGATTATTTTCTTGTTAGGCTTCAGTAACTACTCTTTCCCGAAATTAGATTTTGTTATTTTTTAGTTTATTAGTGACTTTAAAAAAAAATCTCAATCTGCAATGTTGAACCTGCAATTTTAAAAAGGATTCTGCTATACACGTGAAGACAATCTTTGTCTGCTAATTAGACCAGAAACAATTTGTAAATTTAAATGTTTGGTGCATTGTAGTTGCTAGCGGAATATTAAATCCAACGCCTTATCCACTAGGCCACGGCAACTTGATGTTTCACAAAGTCAGCGTAATTTTTAATGGTCAAGACGCGAAACTTAAATCTTTGAGATATGACTTGTTATACGCCAATGAGCCGTGGACTCCAATTTAAGTTTGCTTTTCATTCTGGATTTGATGCCATATCTTATGTTCGTCCATGAACAAACTACAGGTTGTTGATTTTGGAAATTTCTCTCCTACATCAGTTGCCGTCCACAGCCTCATATGCCTGTTTGTTTGGACTCGGAAGAGCAGACTGAGCTTATTTGAGCGAATACTTACCTTTAAGATACACATTTTACAATGCATGATAAACTGTTTGGTATTAATTAAGTTTTGGAATATGTAAATGTGTAATAAACTCGACACAACAATACCAATAAAATTTGAATTATATTCCCTTTTTGTACAGTGCGGATTGCGTAATACAAATTCTATGTTGTTCATTACCGTTTACTCTATAGCTCAGTGGTTAGATTACTGGTCTTGTGAACCAGGGATCGTGAGTTCAGTTCTCACTGGGGTCTAATATTTGCTAATATAATATTAATTAAAAGGTTATCTTTTTAATTTTTGGAAGATTTTGTAATTTCTTTCATGGAGATAAAAGCAACGGAAATGTATCATACGAGCTGACCCGCGCAGAAAGCAAACGCCGCTATTTAGTTGTTTTATTTTCTACTTTTCAGATTTTATTTTCTACTTTTCCTCACCAGACTGGCGGGGGTGGGGATGGTAGTGATATGCCTGGAGAGCGTTGGAGTAACGGCGTGCGTTTACGTGGTGTATCACATGGACCCATGCAGAGAATTATATAAAACGAGCCGACCCGCGGCGTATCATACGCCGCTATTTAGTTGATTTATTTTCTACTTTTCAGTAATTCATAATTTGTGAATTCGACAGTACCAATGCTGCCACTGAAAATATTTGCTTTAAAACACTAACACCCCTCCTTTCCCCTAACCCCGACCCTACACCCCCCCCCCCCCCCCCCGTGAAAAGATAAAAAAAAACAACAAATGGTGAAAGCAGCCTCCTCTTAGTTACCTCCTGTAAGTTTAAAGTCGGTTCAAACTAAATTATCTGTCCCTAATAGCCGTCACTAAACCTGGCTGTACTGTTTGTAAACATTAACGTGACCACAGCTCAGCAGACCATGTGGAGGTGGGGTAGGGTGGTAGTGATAGTGATAGAGAGAAAGAGAAGGGACTGTAAGGAGGCGCTTGCAGCTTGTTTTCTAATGGCTCGCAGAGGAGAATTATAATATACGAGCCGGCCCGCGGCATAACATACGCCGCTATTTTTTGTGAATTTTATAATTTCATTTTCATAATTTGTGAATTCGACAGTACCAACGCTGCCACTGAAAATATTTCTATAAGTAGCTCGTTAAGGACCATAACCCC